TACCAAACCGACGGCCTTCCAAGTACCAATTAGGAAAAGATGCCACTAGCAAGGCTCGTAAGAATTGGAAGCAAAAGTCCGCTTCAACCTTCTTTTTTGTCGTGCCTGCAGAGCTGCAGGATGAGATCACTGCCGCTGGCCCTGCATTGAGGTCCGGGCTCATCGATGCAGCTTCTGCAAAACTGTTGGGGGTCGCGCCTCCCACAGCTCCGGCTTCTGCCAGCCACTGCTGGCCGGAAGTTCAAGTTCAGCCCAACCGCACCAGGATGAGCAAGCAAAAGGTGACTAATGAAATCGTTTCGAGGAACACACACGGCGGAAAATGCAAGTTCCGGATCTGGAAGACGAGTGGGAGCGCACTGCCAGGAAACAAGCGAAAAGACTGCTCAGGCGACGGGCAAGGTGGCGTGAACTGAAACAAGAGCTTGAGGCTGGCAACGCACAAACGAGTTCCTCGAGCACGACTCCTCCTCCTCCTCCTCTTCAGACAAGTAGCACGAGCACGCGAAAAGACTTGCTGTCTGTACAAATTGCCTGCTTGGAACATGTAGGGGGGCAGGGCAGGCGCAGGCGGCCAGGGCAGAGGAGTTCCAAAACCACGAAAGAACGGCTTTTTGAAGTCGCGGAAGCTCAAAATGGTGGTTTTGGAACTGGTCAAGGGCAGGGCCCGGCAGGGCTAGGCAGGGCAGAAGGGCAGCGTAGAAGGAAGCGGTGAGGCGGAACCCTTGGCAGCCCAGATGGGGCTGTAGTGAATACAGTGACAAATTGAGTGCTTCTGCTTACTTTCCATGAGGCCCGCCAGCACAAACGCACAAAGGCACATGTCGTAGCGGTGTGCCCCGAGCCATTCCCGCCCAAAGGCAGCTTAGCGGACCGACCAGTTCGCGCTTTAGAGGCTTGAGCAGGTTGGTTTTCGCTACCAGACCGCACCATTCTGCAAGGAGTGGAAAAGGAGTGCCCTGAGAGAACTCCTCTTCGTACCCTGGGTCGAAGGGTAAACTTGTCTTCAACCACTTTCCATAGGCGCCACCCATTGTTTGCCCCAGTGCGGGCGTAACGTCTGCTGGGTATGTTCACAGGGCAAGACAATGCGGTAGAGAATCGAGCCCGGGGCCATGGGAAGCAGAGCCAGGTCTTTGCCCACTGCTCCATGCCAAATCTGCGGATTGGAGATCCTTTCAATATCATGCTTAAGCTGTATGACTCGCGAAAAGGAGCCTGCTTGTGAAATCCTTCCAGAGCTTGGTGAAGAAACCCTCTCTAAGCCTCAGTTTTCTGTCTGTGACAGCCAGCTTAAAGGCCCTTTTAGTGAGAGAGCTGTATAGCTTGTAAACAGGATCCTCTTAAATCTGCATTCCTTGCACAGCTCCTATCGGATGTAAGGACCCCCGGGAAACATTTTAGAGCTGTGTATTGTTTGATATAAGAGTTTGTCTGCAGCTTTCAGAGATGCTTCTGCGTCCGAGCTATGTTGAGGTGTTCTTGTTTGTTGCATTTTCCTCGCGTACGAAAGAGCGCGGAAGCTGCGCGAACGCGGCGCGGGAGGGGCTGTTTCTGGGAGAAAGAATATCGGATAGCACTCATGTGGATAGGGTTTAATTAGAGTTTAGGGTTTAGAGTTTAGGATCTAGGGTTCAGACTTGAGGACTTAGGGTTCAGACTTCAGGACGTAGGGTTCAGAGTTTAGGATCTAGGGTTTAGAGACCCATGCGCTCTGGTGTAAACCCTAAACCACTACACCCTTAAACCCTTAAGCCCTAGACCCTAAACCGTAAACCCTAAACCCTATAACCCTTAAACTCCTAAACCCTAACCCTGAACCCTTAAACCCTATGGCCCCGAAATCTGACATAGAGGATGTTCGGGGGTCGAACATCAAGAGCACAGGTTGGAGGTTTAGGGCTTAGTGTTTTGGGTTCAGGGGTTTAGGGTTTAGGGGTTGGGGTTTATGGGTTTAGGGGTTTAGGGTTTGGTTAGGGGTTGGGTTTTAGGGGTTTAGGGGTTTAGCGTTTAGGGTTTCGGGTTTGGGGTTTAGGGGTTTAGGGCTTTGGGGTTTCTGGTTTAGGGTTTTGTTTGTGCGGACTTTGTCGTGCTTAACTTTGGGCTGTGGCGCGGCCTGCGGTCCCACGCCCTGCGAGGGTTTGCTGCCGGGGTTTAGGGTTTAGGGTTTAGGGTTTAGGGTGCCCCTGAGATACTTGCGCTCAGGCTTGTGTGGCCGGTTTTCGCATCCTCATGGCTCTTTCTTGGCATCGACCTTCTTGTGCTGCTCCTCGCTCCAATTTGGGCTTTTGCCCTGTAGGATAACCTGTAACAGCAGGTAAGAGTTTCAGCAGACGGAAGACGATTCATAAAGAACCTCCCACGCACGAGCCCAATTCGTGCAGTCTGCATACGAACCTTTTTCAAGGCCTTGGTCGGTACTATATAGGTATGTTGAGGGTCCAAAGGACCCAAGAAAGGTGCCTAGGTTCCGGATAGTAGCTATATAGGTTACTATTTTGAATAGGATCTGATTACTGGGTACTTGGACTCTTAGGGTTGAGGGTTTGGGGTGCAATCACAGCATCCCAAACGGGAGGCCGGGGCCAATGATTCCTGTCCTTCATTTCCCTTAATGTATTTCTCAAGGGACTAAAGGAGGGACCCTTAAAGGGACCCTGGGGACCCTTGGGGTTATAGAGGGGCTTTATGAGACTATATAAGGGGTAGAGGATTATATAGAGTATCTGGATTAGGGGTCCCTTCTAGGGTCCCTCCTATTGTCCATGAAATGCAGGAAGGGAGCCGCCAAATCCGGAGTCCCTGAGCCACATCCTCTTCCGAAGCCCTAATCATGAAGCTCCAGCCGCTTGTATAGCCGAATGGAGCCCTGACAGTTGGGGGCGTGTCGGGTTAATGTAGGCGCCTAAATAATTACCAATACTATTTTAAATTTAGGGGGTTCCTCATTATGATTATAGCATAATGAGCCCCAAATCCCTCTTCTAAGTATGAAGGCCCCTGCATTATCGAAATCCGAAGGCCTTCTATACCCTACACCCTCAACGCCCTTTTCAAATCCTGCCCTCCCTCTCGGGGTTTCGGGTGCCCTGAACCCCCAAACCCCTCCGAGCCCTGTGGCCTGAACTTTAACCCTTCCAAAACCTGCGCGCCTTTTCTCGTGTTGGAGGCTGCACTGGGGAGTGCGGCCCAATTCTGAAGCAGCTTGGGACAGCGTTACGATAGAGAAGCTAGTTCAAGTCATTAAGATAGGATGTTGGCAAACCCTAAACCCTAAACCCTAAACCCCAGTTGCGGTGTCTGTAATAAGTGGCTTTGAGCTTTGGGCTACGGAGTATCGATGGAGTCTTAGATCTTCGGCTTCCAGGGTGCCAAGGCTTAAAGCTTGCGGGCTTTAGGGCTTTAGGGCGTATACGCCCCCTAAACCCTAAATCCTAAACCCTACATAGGGCTTTAGGGCTCTAGGTTTGGGTTTCAGGTTCAGGTTTCAAGGCTTTTAGGACCAGGATTTAGGCTTTGGGGTGTAGGGTTTCAGAGTTTGCGCCAGAATCTTAAGATCTGAAATGGCCGGACCACTGAGTATCAGAAGTCCCCCGATATGAAAATGGTCGGAGAGGTATTATCTATTATTTTAAGAATTCTTCCAATTTAAAAAACCCTTGTGCTTAAATTTTCTATATAATGTGTCTCTATTAGAGACAGAAGGGCCTGATTCGGGAAGGGCATGAGGTTCTGAACGGGGATCGTATTCCAGCCCCATTTAGGGGACCACCTTCTGTGTTGGGCGGATCTTTGAGATATTGGGAGTTAGCAGTAGGGTTGAGGGTTTAGGGTTTAGGATTAATTCAGGGTTTAGGGTTCAGGATTCAGGGTTCAGGGTTCAGGGTTTAGGGTTCAGGGTTCAGGGTTCAGGGTTTAGGTTCAGGGTTTAGGGTTTAGGGTTTAGGGTTTAGCAGCTTTCAGGGTTTTGGGGCTTCGAGTTGAGGGCTGACCGGCTTGGTGTTGGCTTCTGCTCTTCGTTGGATGCTCAAGTTTCGAGGAATATATATATATATGTATAGATATACCTCTCTCTCTCTCTATATATATATATATGTACGTTCAGGCTTCCAGGGTTTAGGGTTCAGGGTTTAGGATTTAGGGTTTAGGGATATTCAAAGTGGATGGTCTCTAGACTGGAGTCTTTGGACGCCAAACAGAAAGAAAAAACAAAGCCCTAAACCTCAAAGCCAGTTGAGCCTACGCGGTCATGAACTCCAATCGAAAATTGATTTGTAGACCCCCTCTTTAAACCCAAAGTAAGCCCAAAGAGCCGAAATTAAACCTTAAGCCCTGCAAGCCGTGCAAGCCAAGTCCAAGTCATCACCCTCATAGAACCCTGAACGAAAACCTTGTAAGAACCCTTTTTGTAAGGAAGCCGTTGAAGAGAACCCTCTAGCAGCACGCTTTTCAAACCGCGAGCCGGAGCCAAAGCCTACACCCCAAACCCGAAAGCCCTGAACCCTAAACCCCATACACCCGCGAGCCCCTAGACCCTAAAACCTAAACCTTAAACCCTAAGCCCCTAAACCCTAAATCCCTAAACCCTATAACCCTTAAACCCTTAAACCCCTGAGACCTAAGCCTCCAGGGCAACTCCCTGCAGAACGTCCACCGGTACTGGGCCATCCTCCTGGGCGGAGC